GCCGAGGCGTAGCTGGCAAGCGGCAGAGACGGAGCAGGCCGACCACCAGCTGGCCCAGCCCAAGGGAGGTAAGGCACCCACCGGAAAAGGGGGAAAAAATGGCGGACAAAAAAAATGGCGGACAGCCTTGCTTGGCGACCCCCGTGAAATGGTCGATCGACCCCAAATGGGGTCCCGACCCACAGGTTGAGAACCACTGGCTTAGTGACTGTTATGACAGACCTCCCCAAAGCTAGAAGTGACCCAGATTTGAACTTCTGAACGGTCACTGTCCCGGCCCAGCAGTCACACGTTCAACCCCTGGCCCACGTTTACATCTGTTTCCGGCACCCTGCGGTCACATGACCGCGATTCGCAATGGGTTTTTTTTTGTGTCAGAAACCAGCATTTCCATCTGATTTCCAGCAAAAAAACCGCTCATCGCGGACAAGGGATTTGCGTAACGGCCGCAGCATTCATTTAACGTCCCTGGCGTTCGCTTTACGACTGCCACATTTGCCACACAAAAAAAATAAATTAAAATCAGGCACAGTCACAAGGGGACCCGCTTAATGACCGGGGCCCTCTTTCTCTCTCTCCCCTTTCATCCTTTTTACTTTAATGAATAACCTTGAAATCTAAACTTTCAAACAATGGGGAGCAGGGCAATAAAACTGAAATAAAAATATTCTAAGAAGTAATTCCCCCCCCCTACACACACACTGAGTTTTGCAATCTGAACAGGCTCCATAGTTAGCTTTCCCAGCATTTGACAAATCTCCTTGTTCTTCCTTTTTTAAAAAAAAAGTGCATTATAATATAAAATAGAAATAAAAACGAAGGCTCCGTCCCTGCTTGTAGATCTGCCCCCGCCTGCCCTTCGGCGGCAGCCTCACCCGTTTCTGGTTGTAGTTGACGGCCAGTCTGAGCCTGGCCAGGTTGGGGATGCCCTCCTCAAAGGCCTGGTCGTCCATCTCTTCATCGTCGTCCACGGCGTCGTCCCCCAACTCGTTCAGGATGGCCGTCACCTCGCTCTGGTTGCGGCACATGCCCATCAGCTCAAAGGCAAACTCCTGGCACAAGTTCTCCAGCGCCAGGTAATCTGGCTGGATCAGAAGAGAGGGAGGAGGGGCCTGAGCCATCCCTCCAGAGACCCCCACCGCCCCCCAAGCCCCACCGCTCTGCTGCCTTACGTCATCGCAACCCTCCTCCCTTCCAGCACTGATGGTGTTGCCTAGCTGGGTAATGAAATGTCTGCAAGAAAACCACCCAGCTCAAAGAGCACCAAGGACCCCACAGTCCTTCCTTCCTTCCTTCCTTCCTTCCTTCCTTCCTTCCTTCCTTCCTTCCTTCCTTCCTTCCTTCCTTCCTTCCTTAATTTCTTCCTTCCTTCCTCCTCCTCCTCCTCCTCCTCCCTTTTGGCACTAATGATGTTCCCTAGTTGGGTCATGAAATGTCTGCAAGAGAACCACCCAGCTCAGAGAGCACTAAGGACCCCACAGTCTCCTCCTCCTCCTCCTCCTCCTCCTCCTCCTC